GCCATCTATTCCTGGGCTTTCTTTGGTTTGGAGACTTTTGATGACTGATTCTATTTCCATAGGGGTTATAGGTCTATTTAAATTGCTTATATGTTCTTGATTTAATTTTGGCAGTTGATATCTATCCAGGAAGTTGGCCATTTCCTTTTCAAAGTATGACCTGATGATTCTCTGGATTTCCTCAATGTCCGTTGTTATGTATCCCTTTTCATATCTGATTTTGTTAATTTGCATGTTCACATTCTGCTGTTTGGTGAGTTTGGATAAAGATTTGTCTATCTTGTTGATTTTCTAAAAGAACAAACACTTTGTTACATTGATTCTTTGTATTGCTTTCCTAGTTTCTACTTTATTGATTTCAGCACTCAATTTGATTATTTCCTGGCTCTACTCCTCCTGGGGGAGTTTGCTTCTTTGTGTTCTAGAGCTTTCAGCTGTGCTGTTAGTTCTCTGGTGTAACTATTCTCCAGTTTCTTTGTGTGGGCACTTAGTGCTATGAACGTTCCTCTTAGCACAGTTTTCAAAGTGTCCCATAAGTTTGGATATGTTGTGTCTTCATTCTCATTGAATTCTAGGAAGTCTTTAATTTCTTTTTTATTTCTTCTTTGATCCAGGAGTGGTACAATTGCACATTATTCAATTTCCATGAGTTTGTAGGGTTTCTGCAATTTTTGGTGTTGTTGAACTCTAAAGCATGGTGGTCTGATAAGATACATGGAGTTATTACAATTTTTTGTACGTGTTGTGGTTTGCTATGTTGCCAAGAATGTGGTCAAATTTTGAGCAGGTTTCATGTGGTGCTGAGAAGAAGATATATTCTTTTGTGTTTGGATGGAATGTTCTATAGATGTCTTTGAAACCCAATTGAGTCATAACTTCTATTAGTTCCTTTGCTTCTTTGTTTAGTTTCTGTCTGGCATTCCTGTCTAGTGTTGACAGTGGGGTGTTGAAGTCTCCCCCTATAAGTGTATGGGGCTTTATGTGTGGTTTGAGTTTTAGTAATGTTTCTTTTACAAATATGGATACCTTTGTTTTTGGGGCATAGATGTTCAGAACAGAGATTTCATCTTGGTGGATTTTTCCTCTGATGAATATGAAATGACCTCCTTCATCTCTTTTGATTGCTTTCAGTTTAAAGTCTAGCTTGTTAGATATTAGGATTGCTACTCCTTTTTGTTTCTTGGGACAATTTGATTGGAAAATCTTTTCCCAACCCTTAACTCTGAGGTAATGTCTGTCTTTGAGGCTGAGGTGTGTTTCTTGTATGCAACAGAAGGATGGGTTCTGTCTTCGAATCTATTCTGTTAGCCTGTGCCTTTTTATGGGCAAGTTAAGACCTTAATATTGAGGGATATTAGTGACCTTTGATTGTTTGTTCTCATTTGTTTTGGAATGGCTGTTCTTGGTGGAATTGTGTGTGGATTTCCACACCTTTTCTCTTTTGGGTGTTGGTAAAGTGGGATTATCTATTTCATAAGTTTTTCTCATTGCAGTTAACTTCCTTGGATTGGAGTTTTCCTTCCAGGACTTTCTGTAGGGCTGGGTTAGTGGATATATATAAATCTGGTTTTGTCATGGATATCTTGTTTTCTCCATCTATAGTGATTGAAAGCTTTGCTGCGTATAGTAGTCTGGACTGGCATGCGTGGTCTCTTATTGTTGGTAGAATATCTGTCCAGGACCTTCTGGCTTTCAGGGTTTCCATGGAGAAGTTTGCCTTCATATGTTATTTGACCTATTCTTTCTTTATTCAGTATGCTTGGGGTCTTGATTATTATGTGGCAATGAGACTTTTTTTGGTGGTCCACTCTTTTTGGTATTCTGTAAGCTTCTTGTACATTCATTGGCATGTCTTTTTTTAGGTTGGGAAAGTTTTTTCTATGATTTTGTTGAATATGTTTTCTGTCCCTCTGAGTTGAGTTTCTTCTCCTTCTTCTATACCTATTTTTCTTAGGTTTGGTCTTTTCACAGTGTCCCATATTTCCTGGATATTTTGACTTAGGGACTTGTTGGACTTAAGATTTTCTTTGATTGATGAATCTATTTCTCCTAGCGTGTCTTCAACCTGAGACTCTCTTTTCCATCTCTTGTTTCCTGTTGGTTATGCTTGCATCTGTAGTACCTGACCACTTCCCCAGTTTTTCTATTCCCAGCATTCCTTCAGACTGTGTTTTTTTATTGTCTCTATTTCAGCTTTCAACCCTTGCACTGTTTGAATTGTTTCCTGTAATTTTTGCTTTGCGTTTTTCTCCCTTTCTTGTATTTGTTGGGATTTTTGGTTTGTTTTTTCTTTTATTTCTTGCATTTTGGGTTTGTTTTTTTTCTTCCATTTCTTTAAGGGATTTTCTCACATCCTCTTTGAGGGCCTCTATCATTTTCATGAAGGTGTTTTTAATGTCATTCCCTTCTGCTTCAGCTGCATTGGGGGGTTCAGTTCTTACTGGTGTAGAATCTCTAGACTCTGGCGGTGTCCTATTTGTTTTTCTGTTGCTGAGTGTGTTTTTATATTGCCTTTTCCCCATCACTTCTTCCAGTGTCTGTAGAAAGAGTCTCTTCCTCTCCTGGTGGGTAAGGGACCAGGGTTCCCTTTCAGTGGATGCAAGCAAATGCAATACTCTCTGGCCTCTGCTCTGTTTCCTCTGCCCTCTGCCCTGAGTGTGGGTGGAAGTGGACCAGCTCTCTCTCAGGCTCCTGGTCGCTTGGCTGTCCTTGGGGGGGATCCGACCTGGTTGCAGTCCCTAATCCAGGGGATTTGAGAGAGGGCAAGCTGGAGGAATTTGTGTCTAAGATGGGGACCCAGTGGGTGCTCACCTCTGCCCTCTGCCATGGGTGTCATGACCAGATTTTTTATTTTAATTTTATAGGGAGTTACAGCTTAGAGATTCCCTTGAGTTTCATACGAGACACTGACATTTGAAATTTTAAACAGTGTTGAGACTGTGATAAACTACAGGGGCCTTTGAACTTGGACTGAATGCATTTAACATTATGATATGGCTACAAATCTGTTATAGGCAGTGAGAAGTGGAATGTGGTAGTCTGAATGAATACAGACCCCATAGACTCATAGATTTGAATACTTGGTCAGAAGGGAGTGGCACTGTTTGAAAGGGTTAGGAAAGGCCGTCTTTTTAGAGGAAGTATGTCACTACTTTCAAAAGCCCCTGCCAAGTCCAGAAAATCACTAATAAATTGAATCTTAAGAAATGTATAGGCATCAGGGAATAAGAAAAAAGAAAGGGGAATATTATAAAACAAGTGGGTAAGAGGAATTACGTAGTTCTTCATTTCCATAGTTCCAACTCAGCTTCCTTTGTGTATCAACCTGATTATCAACAAAGGAATTTTAAATTACTTGGGATGGTTGAGTATATAATAGGGATATGATCCTATTGACCTTTTTACCTTTTTTTCTTTTTACATCAATGCTTGACTTAAATCCAATAGGAAAGCAGGTTTATTTATATCATAAAATAAATGAAAAAAATGTGACACTATTGAAAAAAGTTAAAAACATTCATATTAGAGAATTTATTTCAAAATGATTTCCAAAAGTTCAAAAATTATTTAAAACATTGTGTATTTTGATTAAATTTAGAATAACTTTGGAAGTTAATGTGAAGTTCTCTTTACTGGAACAGTGGTAAGGATTTTAAATTATTACTAAAGAATTGTAGGAATTTAACCCACCTATATCTACAGGTGTATGGGGAAAGCCATTTCAGTGATGAGCAGGTAGTAATGCTGCTTATGGATCCAATGTAGCTCCTCATAAACTTGGCAACTTGTAGCAATCTCAGGCTACAACACTTCTCAAGGATTCTGGCAAGGGGCTGGGGATTAAAATGAAGAAAAAAGACAGCATGTCTTATTCTTTCAAGGAGAATGACATTTATTGTAACAAGAGGGGAGCATTATATACTAGTCAGCAGGCACGGTGGAAAACTACCAAGGTCAGAAGCTCACATTCCCAGTACCCTCCGGCAATAAGGATGGGCAGATAACAGGAATTTTAATTCAGACAATAAGGATGGGCAGAAAACAGGAACTTGCATACAGGCCTAATTGGAAGGAGGGGAACAGGATTATCTTGCTCCTAGGCGCAAGCTGGACAGCAGTCCCTATAGGGGAAGGGTCCAACAGCAACTAGCAGTTACAGTTGCAGGATCTCGGTGGTGGTTTGAGTAGTAATGGCCCCCACAGGATCATATGTTTGAATGCATGGTCTTTTGGGAATGGCACTATTTGAGAGGGATAAGGAGATATGGCCTTGTTGGAGTAAGTGTGGCCTTGTTGGACAAAATATGTCATTGTGGGTGAGCTTCGGGGTTTTGAATGCTTAAGCCAGGACCAGTGGCTCTTGCTGTCTTCTCATTCCTGGTGATGTAGCCATAGACCTCTCAACTCCTTCTCCAACACCATGTTGGCCTGTGCGTTACCATGTTCTTTGCCGTGACGACACTGCACAAAACCTTTGAAACTGTAAGGAAGCCCAACTCCATGCTTTCTTTGGTAAGAGTTGCCATGGTCATTGTGTCTCTTTACAACCACAGAACACTGGCAAAGACAAGGAGCATTGTCATAAATTTAGTCATCCACTGGGAGACAGGTTGAAGCAAGGAAACTGTGGATGAGAACGTAGGATGATTTGTATTAGGAAACATAAAGATGTTAATTGAGGTAAAAGCAGGAATAAAAAGGCTCATGCGAGAAGTGTCTGCAGCTGAAGATGTCCTACAGCTGCTATGAAATAAACATTACAATTGTTTTAAAGACGAAAAATATCAGCCGGGCGGTGGTGGCGCACGCCTTTAATCCCAGCACTCGGGAGGCAGAGGCAGGCAGATCTCTACGAGTTTGAGGCCGGGCTGGTCTGACAGCCTCCAAAACAATACAGGGAAACCCTGTCTCGTAAAACCAAAAAAAAAAAAAAAAGAAAAAAAAAAGAAATCCATGTAACCATTATCACATATACAACATGGAACTTTTGTTTTATGCAGGCTCAAAACGTTTTTCTGAAGATGTAATGGAAAAGCTGGTTTTAGTATTGGCAAATCTGTTTGGAAGAACACATATTCCGGCAAAGTTCCAAGATGCTAACATAAAGTTTTATCAATCAAAGGTAAAAATCTTCTGATAAAATTAATTAATAATAGCATACAGATTATGTCAGAAATGACTCAGCAGAAATAGGATTTTATGAATATGGGATAATTAATGTATTTTACATACTAGTGTTTTCCTTTTGCAAATAGTGTGACGTTTATCTGTAACTCAGAGTTGCTCTGTTCAAAGATTATCTGCCTTGAGGAGAAATAGGATGAAAGTATATTCTTGTTTTTAATTGATTACATCTAAATATAGCATTAATGAAAAGGTGTACAGGGCCTGGGAAGATGACTTGATACAGTGCTTGCCGTGCAAGCAAAAGGATTGGAGTGTGGATTCCCAGGCCCATATGAAAAGATGTACATGGTAACACTCCTTGTACTCCCAGTGCTAAAAAGGCAGAGAAATGTAAAACCCTGGGGTTGGCTGGTGCAGCCTAGCCTAATTGCAGAACTCTAGATATGGTGAGATACCTTGTTTCAAAAAGTAAAGTGGAGAGCATCCACACACATATTCATGAGCATATACATGGAAAATGCATGTGATTATACATTTAAGTCCCAAAGCCATTCTCATTGTTGAATGTGTGTCTTGGGATATGTCATAGTATCATCTCTGAGAAAGTATTGCAAAATTATCTGGGAAATTGTCCTTTAACTCCTAGAGTCAAAATCTTAGAAACAGTTTTCCAATTTGAATATTTTTATCTTGCTTGAACATTTTTGAAAAGGTGCATCTGTCCATTTAGTTAAAACAGTTGTATTTATTTCCATGAGATAACTTGTGGCATCCTTTCTGCTCCTTATGGTGCGTTGAGTTGATTCTCTCAGGAATATTCATGTAACTTCCTTGTGCAGCTCTAATGGTATGAATGACAAAGGCAGAATTCTTTTCTTCACAGTTCTTCAGGTCAGAAGTTGTAAATGAAGATGTTTTGTGTGGGCATTCTTTCTACGTTGTAGTTTGCTATCACAAAACTACAAAAAAAAAAAAAGAAAATTCGAAACACAGCACTTTCATGCATACAAGTTGAAAAATAATTAACAGTGTTAGCACAGTGAGAGTTTCAAAACCTTTCAACCAGGTGCAGCTGATTCCAGGCCTGAAAATATGGTTTATCTTCCTTGCTTTATGGTTTATCATCCTTGCTCTAGAAACGTGTCCCTAGATCCTCTGAAATTATTCCATGGGTCTGGTGGCAGGTGAGGACATGCTTCTACTTTTACAAAAGTTATTTTGATCAAGTAGCATCAGAGTAAATGTTATGAGTATTTTTTTTTACAAGTCCAAGTAAGAACAAAAAGTATTAACCTCAGTTCAACCAAAAAAGGGAGAAAATGTGGCTTTACTGAAAACAATAGAATTATCCATGTAGTCTTTTACCTTCATTGCTCCAAATACTCAGCTTTTACAGAAGGTATTCTCCTCTCTTTGGCTTTTAGGTGTTCCTTGATGACCTCCCAGAGGACTTCAGTGAGGCCCTGCTTGAATACAACATGCAAGTGACCAAGGACTTTGCTGCTTTTCTGCTAATTGTGTCTCGATTGGCTGATATGAAGCAGGAATATCAACTCCCCTTGTCAAAAATTGGTAAGGGTGTTTTAGTTCCACTGTGGAGCAGTTGAGTAATATTGTTGCCCAAGATAGGTGATATGGGTGTTAGGGATGCATGTCAGTGGTGGAGCTCCAGCTCTACCATTTTTATTTCTGAAGGTTGCCAATCTAGAAAGTCAGCTTGCCTTAGAAATATTGGGTTATTTCAGCTTAAAAAAAAGGAAGTTGGTTGGTGATTGACAGTTAAAAGGGCAGTGGAGAATGAAACTAAAACCAAGTAGAATCATCTATAAACTGTTTTGATTGAGGGCTGACTTTGGGTCAATCCTAGAAAGAGGAGCAGGGATTTCTCTGAGCTAAGAGAAAGAAGATGAATTCTGTGAGGACTTCTGAGGAGAGGCTTGATGGTGACCATCATCTGCTAATTCTTACTGCTGAAATTCAGGCAAGTGATGCCAAATAATGTCCTTGCTTTTTCAATGGACACTTGAAATAGAGAATGGTATTTTTTAGTATTATTGAGATTCAAATGACTATTTTTAAATGATTAGGGCATATAAATACCTTGAAGTAGGGCTTAGTATATGGGGAAATTGTTCTATTTTGTTGTTCTTGTTTATAACCAATAGACAGAAGTCTTCTAAGAGACCATAAATAGTAAAGGGTGACAGAGATACAAAACTTTGACTGGGGAAAAATATTGGAGGTTCACTATAGCTTAACATCTCCAGTTGGGGAAATCAATGAAGTAGAGTGTGTACCCTCTTAGACTATAAATGTAGGGGCATCATGAACAAGAACAGATATCAATAAGCATGCCCAATCTTGTCAGATCTGGAAAGCTAAGAAAAATTAGGCATGTTTGTACCCAGAGAGAACACTGTCTGAAAAAGTTCGAAGGCCACGTCTGAATTCAGTGGGGGAAAGTTTCTAAAGGTAAGAGTTTAGTTAGAAAACTTTCTAGTTTAATTCACTTTTGACTGATCAAAAGTGTAGTATGTATTTTTTTCAATAGTGATGTCAACTCTAAAGGCTAACATTAAATGGAAATATCCCCTCTCAAAATGGCTTGGGCATTCAGTATGTGTTATAGCAATTTTTCTTCATTGTGATATGGTCTCTGTTAGGTCCAATGGCTTCCTTTCGTAGCTTGGTTTAGCTCCCATGCAAGGAAATTATGGTGTTGCCGACCTTTAAATTCAGGACTCAGAGGCAAGGGGATCTCTGGAGGACAGGGAGATGTCAATGATCAGTCTGGCTTACACAGAGAGTTCTAGGCCAGCTGAAGATACATAATAATAAGACCTTGTCTCAAACAAGCAAGCAAGCAAACAAACAAACAAAAACAAAAAGAACAGCAGCAACAAGGAACAACAAGGAATCATTTCAACTTACTCTGATCAGAATTCACAGGTCAAGAATGTGAAGATTCGCCACTCGTATCTCACTTGATGAACTGCAGGGAAGGAAGGGTGGCAGTTTCCCCATTTGTTTGTCTGTCTGGAAACTTTGATGTGGATTTGCTTCACCCAGGAGTTTCAAATAATGTAAGTCAAGAGTAACGTTTATTAGTTAGTCTCTGTGGGGCTTTTGTTCCAGTCTGAATGGTATATTGTAACAGACTGCTGTCGAAGCTGTGGAACACTAACACATAGGCTTTACAAAAATATACTTTCCATTGTAAGAAAAAGATTTCTATTAATTATCTAATTTTCCCAGCTGGATCACAGAACCTAGGTTCATCTCCCTCCCTCCCTTTTTCCCTCCCTCCCTCCCTCCCTCCTCTCCTCTCCTTCCAGTCCCTCCTCCAATCTCCCCCTTTACCCACCGGTCACCCACTCCTTCACCTTTGTTTTCAGAAAAATGCAGGCCTCCCATGTAAATCAGCCAACCATGGCACATCAAGAAAAACATTCCAATAAATTTTAGGAGCTTTGATATCTTTATTTTGTATGGATAACTATAAAGCTCTAGTTGGATAGGTAAGAGATTCACAGTTAAGTATATTGACAAAAGCAATAATAATTTTTAACTATTATAATTTTCTTTCCCAAGATGGATGTAATGGCTCATGCCCATAATTCCAACACGGGAAATGCTGAGACAGGAGGACTGCTACAAATTTGACCGTTACATAATGAGTTTCAGACAGTGGTTAGAAGGCGTTCCTGTTTCAAGATGAGAAGGGGATGGAGGAAGAAGAGGAGGGAGAGGAGGATGGCAAAATAATTCCCCTTTCCACTTATTATGTAATTAACTCGATTTATGAAATGCAACCATCACTTTTACTTTCTTTTTAGATGAGTTTCCGTGGCAATTCAGGGCAGTACTGATACAATGAGAATAAACTAGAAAGTCTGTGTCTCATTGCTGTAATAATATCAGCATCAATCAGAAGGCACATAGGTGTATGCATGAACTCATTCTCACTTACCCTTGCTGCCCATGGAGTTCCAGAAAATAGTGTCTGCTTTTCTTTCTTTCATGTGACATAGGTATTTAGACTCATGTTACTTGATCATAGCTTGCTATTTTGATTGACCCAAATCACTTCATATAGATTTATTTTATTAGGGACTATGGTAATCTCTTGAAATTTCACTTACTTGTGTTGCTGGGTCCTAACATCTCCTTGGAGCAGGGGGTGAGAAGGTATAGGGTCAACAGCACAGACACTAGGAGTCAGGTAAAAGCCAAGCAACAGACCCCTTTACTTAGTAATGGGGAGAACCTTATATACCCTCCCAGCACCCAGGCATTCCTATCCTTTGACATCTCATGCCTGCCGCTCATTGGCTAGACACAATCAGGATTTCTGACAGCACTGGGCAAACTCCAGGTTGGCTCACCCTCTCAGCCTGGTAGGCCTTAAGTTTCTGCGTACCCACCCATTTTTATTTTTTACATGGGCACTCCTCCCAGTCAGAGTTCTCTGCTCAGGCCTGGTTGACCCCAAATCGGGAGGGCTCAGTGTCTGTGCCTGTCTTGGCTTTGCCTGCCCAACAAGCTCTTACCTGCCATTGACTACCAGCCTTTGAAGTGCATTCATTTTCAGAGAGCTGCCTGGGTGGGGGTGGTGGGCTAGGTGGTAGCCTTTTGAGGTTCAAATAAACAGGCAAGCATAACCTCCTGCAGAGGACTTGAAGAGGGATACCTAAGAGCCATTAACACCTGAAGAGTTGCCTTAGTGCTGCCCACTGCTGTTGAATATGCTGCAGGAGACATTTAAAGAGAATAAGCATTAGCAATACCACTGGCCAATTAGCCAATTAAGGCATGTGTAAGCATCTGGGAGGGATCAAATAGCCTTTTTATATTATGCCAAACTTAAAAAAAAAAGATGAAGAGTAAAAGGCCATAACCTCTGGCCTTAATAAATCAATCTTTGGGGGGCAGGAGGGGGGGTCAATGAAAGCAAGAAAGAGAAGTATATACATTACTCATCCTGGGTTATTTCCTCCTTGGTGGAAGCAGGTTGATCCCAGGCTGGCACACATCTCTTACCTGGACCCATACTGGCAGTCAGAGGAAAAACACAAGCGCACCCTCACCCACGGGTTAGCAGGGGTGCTGGCGGCTGCCACTGGAGGGAGATAGGATCTCTCCATCTCACTAGGGTCAGGGGTGTGTTCCTTAGTAGAGATGCCCAATGCTTGTAGGCCAGGCTGAGCCTCTTGTCCTCTTACTGGTGGAGCTAAGGAGCACCACGCCTGGAGTTTAAAGGGGCAGGTGCTTTGGCAGGCCAGATCTACAATCCTTTGATCAATGAAATCTCTTGTTCCATCTGGAATATGGGGACCTAGGTTTTCCCCCGGGGGCAGTCACACCCCAGATGGCCTGTTTTGCCACATCTCTAGAAGGACCTATCTATTTGGGGGCCCTTGGGTGTATCATTGGCTCTCTGCCTGTCATCAAGGAGCATCCCAGGAAGCAGTGAGGGCAACAATGGGTCTGTTACTGGGTAAAGATCTCTTGCGGCCAGTATGGACTTGTGAACGTTTCCATTGCAGACTGCCGTGACCGCATTGCATGTTGGGCATTAAACACTTCCCAAACCAATTGTTTTATTAACATTTCCCTAGTGGGTCTTGGTTCTACTCTCTGCTCCACTACCTCATTGACATGTGTGAGAAAATAAATAAAAGTTCCCCTGGCTATTGAATAAGATTTCAGAAGTAAGCTGAAGGGTCCCCAGGGGTGCATGCCTTAGGAGCCTTGAAGGCCAGTTCAGAAACCTATTTATAATAGGCTTGATGGTTAATCTGTGTCTGATAGACAGGATGGAAATGTTACCTCATCCCGTGAGCGCATCAAGGGTTAAAAGCATTTTGTCATAGGTTGAACAGAAAGATTTCTGCCAGCCTTTGAGGCCTGAGGTGGGAGACTACAGTGCCTGGGAGCCATACCACAGTGAAAGGGGATTTCTGCCTTCAGGGACTGGTGGACACTGTGACACTTTACTCCCAGGGTATTGCAGCAGAAGTGTAGTCTCAAGTGGCTGGGGTGCCTCTCCTTTATTTCATTTCCTCTGCTTCCAAATTCTTCTAAAAAGATTTCCTTTTAAAAACGACTATTATTTTATACTAATGTTTATTTTTAAAAAGTGAAGGGATGGTTAATTGTATTCTCCTGAGAGTATCTTTTCCTGCGTTAATTTTGTGTCTGTAAGATTCATACATGTTTTGACATGAAGCTCTGATCTATTTTCCACACACCATAATACTTCATAATATAACACTTTGCATTACTCTGCCTTCTGTCGATGTTTGGTCTGTTTTTAGTTCTCCGTTGCTGCAAATAGGGTTGGTATTAATGTCTGATGAATGTGTTCAACTCTCTCTTGGGCATAAATTTTCTGGGTCGTATGATAATACAAATATTAAAATGTGAATGTATACTACCCATAACTCCCAAACACACTGTAGTGCTGTGTAGTATTGTTAAAGATGTGTTACATTTGTTTATGTGGTAGAACGTTTGCTTAATGATGCAAAGATGTATTACATTCTTTTATGCTGCATGTGTTTAACTCTGTGAAGCTATGTTATTTTGCCTGTCTAAAACACCTGATTGGACTAATAAAGAGCTGAATGACCAATAGTGAGTCAGGAGAAAGGATAGGAGGGGCTGGCAGGCAGAGAGAATAATTAGGAGGATAAATCTGATGAGAGCAATCGAGGATCAGAATAAGGAGGAAGACTCCAGGGGACAGCAACCCAGCTACACAGCAAGCCATGGAGTAAGAAGTAAAGAAAGGTATACAGAAACAGAGAAAGGTAAACTCCCAGAGGTAAAAAATTAGATAGGATAATTGAAGTTAAGGAAAGCTGGCTAGAAATGGGTCAAGCTAAGACTGGACATTCATAACTAAGAATAAGCCTCTGTGTATTTATTTGGGAGCTGGGTGGCAGGCCCCTAAAGAGCAAAGAGTAAAGAGTAAATGTATTCTCTGGATTGTTAAGGAGACTTTAAAATCCTTCAATTAGCTTTACTTTCCTAGTCAGTCTTGCTCTATCCCTGCAAGACTGGTAGGTTTTCCATCCCCATGCAATTGGGGCAGTCCTCTTCACAGGTAAAGTTAAGCCATAGCCTTGGATGCACCATCTCGGTGTGTGCAGCAGCACCCACTCTTCTACAGACAGAGTGTTCTTGAGAAGCATTGCTGAGGATAAAATGACTGCACATTCTAAGCCACAGGCCTTCTGTCCATGTGAGCAACCATTCAAAAATTCTATTTTTTAGGTCATTCTGCACACAATTGGTATCAACCACACTCAAGCTCCAGTGCTGTGGCCACACAGATTGGATAATACAGGAAGAAAAATGCCGCTTAATGCATATGCCCTTGACTTCTACAAGCATGGGTCCCTTGTGGGATTAGAACAGGACAATGGGTATGTTCTCTCCTGATAATTCCAAGAAATCATTAGCCCTGCCAAGCGTCTTAGCTTTTCACTTTCAGACTGATGGAAAAGATGATGACATATTCTATAGTATTTTTATTTCTAGTTTGTTAGCAAAAATTTGGCATTTAGGCCAATTCACTTGACCTAAGTATATGCTCTAAATGAATCTTTGTGAATATTTGGATATATCTTTATATTACAGTTCTAATTAGGTATTACTCGGTATTTTAATGACTAATATCAACCTGACATTGCTTAATGTCTGAGAGAATATAATGTATCTAATTTACATATCTGATTCTGAGACAATTATTTTAGTTTGTTGCCAGGGAAGCCATTTCTATAAGTATAAGCAGGACCAAGAATTGTTTAGGCCACTCTGCATACAATTGCTGTAGACACAGTGGTTTGGCCCCAAAAGTTGGACAGCCATTGAACAAAACTGCCACTTAAAACATATGCACTGGACTTCTGTAAGGATGAATCCCTTGTGAGGTTTGACTATGTCAACTGGTATCTTCTCCCTTGATAATTTCAAGAAACAATTAGTCATGCCAAGCATATCAGATAGTCACATGCAGGGAAATATTCAGGAAAATATATCTGAGTGGGAAAATATTGTGCTAAATACATACATATAGAGGCAAATACACTAAAGAAATAACATACAGTTGACATAAAAATTGAGCAATCCTGATTACGTTAAGGAATGAAAGGTTTTGATAGTCTTCAGAAACCTGGAACACTCTTGTCTATTAAACCTGATTTACTATTGAGAATAAAATATCCGTTGCATTAGCAGATTATATTTTTGTTTTTCAAGCTTATCCATTGACAATTCATATCTGTATAGAGACCATTATGACTACAACCCCCTCCCCCACATTTTTGTATATCTTCTCAATGGTATCCCTTAAACCCAGCAAATCAGCCTCCCATTTTTGAGTCTTCGAATTTTGTTTTGTTTTTTGTTGTGGGACACACTGAGTTTTACCAGGGCTGCCTGCATGGGTGTGGAGCACGGGGACACACCTGTGACTACAGTAATAAAGATAAACGATTTTCCCTTCTTCAGCTCATAGAGTCCTGTGCCTCCTTTGGGAAACTAGTTATCCATGAACCTATCTCTCATCCATGAGTGAAAGTTAATGGTCCCAATCTTTTGCAGGCAACCTTAGCTGCTGTGAGTTCATAAATAATGCCATGCCCAGAAGACTCCATTTCACGGCATTCCCCTTACATCCATCTCTTAGTTCCTTTTGTGTTCTCTTCTGTGATGTCCTGCCTTGGTGGGGTGACATAGATGTTCCAAATATGTATTAATGCTCATAGTCACTTATTCTCACGACTTTGACCAATTACAATGAGCCAACCATTGTAAAAAAACAAAACAAAACAAAAGCAAACAAGCTCCCCAAAACAAACAATCAACCGTGATTATGGCTAAGACAGATGTAATTTATTGGTGTAAGCAATAATAGTAAATAACTTTGTGTAATTAATTTCAGTTTTTTTTGTTGTTTAGGATACATCAAGGGGCAGCTTACCAGATGTTGAAAGATTTTTTCCTTACCATTAAATCTATCAGGTATGTTATGCGCTTAAATATTACTTTCCTATTTTTTCAGAAATTTAATTATAATTTGAACATGTTGGGATTTTTTTCATGATCCAGGTATGTAAAAGTGTCATTGAGCCTGTTACATACCACATATTTCAATTTCCCAGAGGATTTGTAGAGTTCTCCATCTCCACAAACTCATGACTATGTTCTGTATTATAATTAATTTCATACTATTTTATAGATTAAGGGCCATGCAAATAGAGTCTCACACTCAGGAACTACACACGAACAGAAAACTATTCCAGGAAATCACTGATCCCAGAACCTAATATTATCAATGAGCCCCATTGTAAACTCATGTTAAATATGTGAGGTTTCTGAGATGCTGTCAGGCCTCTAGGGTATAGCATGTGCTTGCTCTTGAATGTCTTGCTGTACCCTGTATTTTTCTTCAGGATTTCCCTGACTGCCAGTGCATAGTCACTTCCTGTTTTGATCTGCAACAAAGCCCAGTAAATCACAAGCAATATCAAGCTTTACGTGAGCACTCCATCCTTAGGCTCCAGGGGCCATATAATGTTACCTAGTTAACAGACCATCATCCTAACCCCTCAAATCTAACTTCATTTCAACACTTTAACAGGGGTTCTTTATTTTATCACAGTAACCATAAATCTCATCACTATACTTCCTTAATAAGCATTTCTTTGTTTTATTTCCTTTATCAGAGCTGAATTAGGCCTATACGGATTTTTTTTTATATGCAGAGTGGATTTGGCACATACAAGAGCAGAAGGGAGTATCTTTGTCCATCTATAACAGTGATTTTCAACCTTCCTAATGTTGCAACCCTTTAATCAAGTTTCTCCTGATATGGTGACTCCCCAACTACAAAAATATCTTATTGTTACTTCATAACTAAAAATTTGCTGTTGCTTTGAATCACAATGTAAATATATGATATGCAAGATATCTAATACATGACCTCCAAATGGGTCAAGACGCATAGGTTGAGAACCACTGATAGCATCTCTATGCAAGGTGGCTTCTAGTTACCCATGTTATAACCATAAGAACAGTACAGAAGCCTCCAGAAATACTAGAGCTGTGTCCAAATTCAGGCTGAAAAAAATAAACATTCATCCATTAACCTAACCAGTGTGGGTGTTATTGTTTTGAGACACTTTCAAACATTTGAGGTACAAGGATTGTTAAATCTATTGCTAGCCTTTTGGGAAAAGACAAACCTTACAGTCCTTGTATTAGCTACGATTATGTGACTGTGATAAAATGCCATGAACAAGGCAACTTATAGGAAAAAGCACTTATTTTGGCTTATGGCTCCAGAGAAACTCGAGTCTGTTTCAGGAAGATAATTCAATGTTAGATTTTAGAATTTTGGCTACATATTTTGAGCATCATGGAGACAGGGCAATAAGAGTGAGTGTGGCATATATCTACAGATTGTAAATATGGTAGAGATGTGTCAGATTGTCTCAGTCTGTAACAGTAAGGGTGGTCAGAAATGAATGATGGTCGGAATTAAGGAAATATGACACAGAATATTAACTTGACAAATATTTATAATTGAAACATTAATACTGAAGTTCATAAAGTGGGTCATGATGACCAAGGCTTAAATTATTGTTAATCTCTCTCTCCCTCTCCCTCCCTCTCTCTCTCTCTCTCTCTCTCTCTCTCTCTCTCTCTCTCTCTCTCTCTCTCTCTCTTTCTCTTTCTCTCACTCACTCACACACACTCTACAGTGTTAAAATGACATTTGTGGGGAAGTAAAAAAAAGCAGTGAGTTAGAATTTATATTTGTTGTGGACATCTTCCAGAGGACATAATCACAATGACTAGTCTGTAATTAGGGGGAACTTAATGCTGCAGATGGATATTTCATTTTTGGTGGTATACCAATAAAGACCTGGGGAAGATGGATCTCTAGTTGGAACAAAACATGAAACAATGAACGGTAACTAAGATGCCAGATTGTGCTTGAATTCAACCAAGGCTCCTCACTAGGAATTGTTCAGTTCTGCTATTCTTCTTTCCCCTCATGCCTGTACATGAGTTTCTTAATGCTGATGTAACAAATTATCACAGAATGGCATAAACCTGTACACATGTATCATCTTACCATTCTGGAGCTCAAAAAGCCGAAAGTGTGTTCCACTGGGTAAAATTAGGCATCTGGATACTCTAGGGGAAAGCCTTAGCTATTTCCCAACTTTTAGAGGTCACCTGCATCATAGGCTAACCATTTCCTTCTGATTTGAGACCAAGGATGTTCAGTAGAGAGAACTACAATTGCATATCAAATGTCCACAGTTCACTCCCATGACATTAGTCTCTCCTTCCCCACACCCAGGAGCACTTTCGAGAATTCCATTCTACCTAGAGAATCTAGCATAACCACCTGAGTTCTAAATGAACTATCATCTGTGGCTTCATCTGTGATGTTAATTGCCCTTTGCCATGGGGCCTAACATGTGTATAGGTTTCTGAGGACTTGGGTGAGGGCATCTGAATTAGATGAGGACCATTATTCTACTGACCACATCCCACATTCATTTTTTCCTCACCTACCTAGAAAAGGGAGGCTTTCCTTCTCCATAGTAGATTACAGTATATTCTGTACACAGATGCAGAAAAAACACAAGTATGTCCATGAGATATGCAGAAAAAAATAAAAGAAATTTGTGGTATGCTACCTAAGGGAGCAAGGATCAAATGATATAGAATTTGGTAGCCTTTTAATCACTCTTTGTTAATAGAGACACTGCATGGAACACCTTGTCATGTTTTCCCATTTCTTTTTCTTTTCTGTATATACATAATTTGGTTACTAAACTTGTTTCTTATTAATATTTCTTATAATTTGATAATACTATTTCATCTTTACAGGACAGTCTTTTTTAATAATACTCCACCTTAGTTGACTAATAAATATATGTAATCTTCTATTTGTAGTGTCTCCTTGCGTGAACTGTGCGAAAATGAGGAAGACAATGTGGTTTTAGCGTTCGAACAATTGTCCGAGTCCTTTCAGGAAAAGTTTGAAAAAGTGTGAAAAGAAAAGCCTTGCAAACCGCTGGAAATGTCTCCATAGAAGCTTTGCAAGTTATATATTTGTTATTCTTGTGTCTTGATCAGAAAATCACACATAATGAAGTGGAATGAGCAGTCAGTTTGGAGTTAAAGAGTTGGCATCGAACTTGCTGTGATTGACTCTGAGCACCCTTGGCCATGCTACTTGGTGTGGCTAAGTCTTGGTTTCTTTAAATGATCAGCTAAAACTGCTTATGTCTCCAAATTATTGAGGACTAAATGAGAAAATGCAGGATTTTGCATATACATGTTTGAAGACTTTTTACATTCTGTGAGACCCAAACAAATATTGCATTTAAATATTTTCATTGTTAATATATGTAAAAATTTATTTAAATTAGGAAATAAATGATTGTAGCATCCTGAAAATGTAATATATTGTTCCCAGTCAACATAAAGAGATTGTACTGCTTAGGTAGTTAGCTATTGAAATAGTACATCTTAAAAAATAAGCTACTTGTAAAAAAAATGAATGTTTTTGTTTAATTTGTGTGATGCTTTAACAAGGAAACATGTAGCTACTGTTCTGCTTTATTTTAATTGTATATACATGACTGTTGAAATAATGACTTCCTTGGTTTCATTTCTGTGAAATATTTTCATCTATTCACTTGCACATCACCATCCACTCTGTATAATTATTTACATAGAATCATTCTGTAATCGATGCCTTAGCCTCAATTCTCAACTCCAGCATCTATTTGAAATGCTCAACTTGAATGACAGCATTGAATCCTCAAGACAAAGATGAGTCTTTTCTGCCACACGGTTGTCTCACTGAACAATGCTCTTTCTGATGTCACAAAAGCAAATGTTAGTGGCTTTTAAAAAACTGCTATGGTTCATTTATTTCTGAAGCAGAAAAATTCTAATTATTAGAAATGATATGCTATTTCATGAGTGTAGTTAGAAATCTCTTCCTTGATGGTGGTGGTAGTGGGGGCATGCCATTTAAACTGTTTTCATTATTTAAATGCTGTAACAGTGCAGTAAAGCAAGGCACTTAAAAAAAAGAAAACAGGGTCCTGCCTAGCACCTCCTAATTGCCACCCAGTAGAATGTTACACAATGTGACATTTATTGTCATGTTAATTTTAACTTAACACTTGTACTTAAGAATCCAGATCAGAAGTGAAGTTTTCTTGCTCCCCTATATGTATAAACTAATTTGGCTTCAAAATTTTTAGAAGAGTGAGGTCATTTTTGCTGTTGGGAATCTTCTTGAAAGTGCAGAATTATATGTAACATCTTTGAGGTGAATCCTCTGGGAATTGGAGAGGCCTGCTTCTTTAGTCTTTAGCTAAATCTAAGAGTAAGCAGGAACAAGTTCTCAAGAGTGGGTTTTACATCAGCAAAAGGTGGAGATCAGAAAATGTACAAAAACTATGAAGTGGTAAGGTATTTTTCTAGAATACTTTAGAACCAGGCAGAGGTTATGATGATTCACTGGGCCTCAGAGAAGAGAAAAACAGAAAATAAGAGAAATGGTATGTTGGACCATGATGCTCTTCACTCCAAGTTGACAGGTTTCATACATGGAAAAGTGTCCCAGGCTTAAGCAGGTTCTACATTGGAGAAAGTGAGTTCAAGGTAGACAAGTTTTACCCTGTCTCCTAGGTCTCTATGCATGGAGTTAACTCCCATGACTGTCTACAGAAGAACACAGGTCAGTATTGTTTTAGGCAAATAAAGTTCAAAACATGACTCTAATATTAACAAGTTGACAAGATTATATCAAGCTTTAAATTTCTGCATAGCACACCACCAACAGAACCAGAGAAAACACCTGTAAACTATTTATCTGAAAAGGGTGTCAAACAAAGAATACAAAAGGAGCTAGAAAAACCTCAAACATAAAATACCCCAGTCACAGAAAGTGAACAAATGACATCAATAAACATTTATCAAATATGCATAGATACATGAAAGACTACTTAAATCCTGTAATAACTAAGGAAATGCAAATTAGAACTACATTCAAATATGTAAGTTCAGTTGGCTATGTCAAAAATGGCAGAAATAAGATGAAATTCTGTGGACATTTCAGAGAAAAAGGAACTGTTGCATTTTTTTGTTTGTTTTGGATGGGAATGTAATTTAGTACAACTATTTTGAAAAACAATGTGGATGTTCCTCAAATATATATATATATATATATATATGTATATATGTACCCACACACACATATATACATATATATATACATACACACACACATATATATTATATAACACACACATATAAAGGTTTATATAAAGGGACTTATTATGTCATCTCCAGACTCCACTGCTAGAAAGCCGTATATTTGTATCAGTAGGCTGCTAGTAGCATTCTTCACAATAAGCCAGATGTAGAGTATAGTTAAGTGTTGGATAAATTAGTGGTTATGGAAAAATATATATGTATGTGTATATATGTATAAGAGAATGCTATTTGGCCACCAAATTGTGAAGTTACGTCAACAGCAAAAATATAACTATAACTGGAGGATAGTGTGCTAAATGAAAGAAGCCATGCATGGAAAGACAATGCACATGGAAGTTGAGAGAGTTATGGAAGCAAAGTAAAATGGTGGTTATTAGAGGCTGGCAAGGGTCTGGAAAATAGAGAAAAGATGGGACAAATATACAGGAGCAGCTGTTTGGAGAAATACCTTCTAATTCTCTATAGCACAGTAGGAGTCAATTACATGCTTCAAAATAGCAAATAGGGTGTTAATTTCCCACCACAAAGAAATTATAAATATTTGATGATGGACATAGCAATTGCCCCAATCTGATTGTGATACATCGCCCCAATCTGATTGTGATACATTGAAGTGAAATGTCACATTGTATTCCTTATATAACTTCATGTTTGTAGGAGGAAACAGTGCTCCACCATCAGCCGTGTGACTTATTAGAGGTGCATACAGATGAGGTAATAAAAGGGTGGTTTACCGCACCGCTAACCACACCCACTTTAGGCATGACTAAAGACGTATACGGATGTTGGCCAATAAGGCAGGAAGATAGGTGGGACTAGGAGAGAGGAGGATTCTGGGAGAGAGAGAGGCAGAGAAAGTCAGGCAGCAGAGTTGCCATGCTGCCCAATGAGTAGCAACATGCTAGGGCATTACCAGGTAAGCCACAGCCTCATGGCAATACGTAGATTGATAGAAATGGATTAATAATAGAAAGCTAGCCAATAAGAAGCCCTAGACACTGGCCAACAATTATGTAATTTAAAGTTAATATAGCATCTGTGTGTTTGTGTTTATTTGGGGCTCTCAAGGGTGGTAGGGGACAGGGCAGGGATGGAGGACCACTTGTTACAGGTATCAATGAAAGTATATTATGAGCTGTGTCTATGTATCTATGAAGATGCTGTGATGAAGCCCTTCACTTTGTATCCTAAGTTAAAATCTTAATTTAAAAAGAGGGAAATAGGAATATTCTATTACTGATATTTAAAAATGAAGTTTTTCTTTTCCTTATTGAACTCCACTTTTTCTCATTCTAGAACTTGTTTTCCATTCTTCAAGGATAGAGCTAGAAAAAACTCTGTTTCTTTTTCCTGCAGTGGATGACATTTTCTGTTTTGTTTTATTTTGTTTTTGTTATTGCTTTATCTTTACTGTTAAAGAGCACTTACCAACAAGTGAGCTGCAATAACAACTGAGAGATCTTGTCTCAAGGCAATGAGATGAACAGGGATTGACGAATATCCTAAAGATCTGCTCTGACCTCTGCGTGTGCTGGCATGCTTGCATTCATGCAACATATATGCACCATGCTCTCTTACATGTACTCATTCACTCACACTCCTCCCCCACTCACACTCTCACACACTCACACTCACACACTTTCTCCCGCGTTCTCTCACTCTGTCCTACACACACACACACACACACACACACACACACACACACTCAGAAAAAGAAACTCAAGCAACTTCCAAGTCTTTGCTGCTGATTTTAAAGCATGAAGATAAAACTCAAAGAGAAATCCCCATACCAGTAACTGGGTTTCCCCTTTCCTCACATGTTCTCCAGCATTTGTTGGTTGCTGCTTTGTTGATCTGTTTTTTGTTTGTTTGTTTGTTTTTCAAGATAGGGTTTCTCTGTATTGTTGTGGAACCTGTCCTGGCACTTGCTCTGTAGACCAGGCTGGCCTCGAACTCACAGAGATCCACCTGCCTCTGCCTCCTGAGTGCTGGGATTAAAGGCATGCCCCACCAACACCCAGCTCGCTTTGTTGATCTTTGCCATTCTGTGGGATAAGATATAATCTCAAAATTGTTTTGATTTGCATTTCACTAATTGCTCTTGTTGATGTAGATAAACTGAGGTACTTCTAGACCATATTTATATCTTCTCTTGAGAATTCTCTGTTTAGAACCCAAACCCAGTTTTTGACTGCATTGCTTAGTTTTTGTTTTGACTGGTTTTTGAAATTATGTCTATATTCTATACATTAATCATTTGGAAGATTTTCTCTCATTCTGTGGACTTCTTCATGCAATTATTGTTTCTTTAGCTATATAGACCTTTTTTAATTTTAGAACCCCTGGGTAAATGGGGTTCTATTCAGAAAGTCTATTCCTACACCTATATTATGTAGAGTACTAGATTCAGGTTTTGTGTTTGAGTCTTTGATCCACTTGAAATTAGGTTTCATGCAAGGCAATAGATGCAGGTCTAATTTCATTCTTCCACATGTGGACATCCAGTTTCCCCATAACCATTTGTTGAAGATGCTATCCTGTCTTCAGTGTGTGTTTTTGGATTCTTTGTTGAATATTAGATGGCTATAGTTATGTGTACTCATGTTTGGGTCTTTAATTTTATTCCATTGAACTTCATGTCTGTTCTTGTGTCTGCACACAATTGCTTTTATTACTATGGCTCTGTAATATGTCTCAAAGTCTTGAATGCTAGTTCTTCCAACCTTGTACTTTTTGTTAAGGGATGTTTTAGGTATTTGGCGCTCATTGTGGTTCCATGTGAATTTTAGGATAGTTTTTGCATTATTGTGAAGAATGAGATTCAGATTTCCACTGGAATTGCATTGGATCTGCAAAGGGCTTTTAGTAGAATTGTCTTTTCCATAATATTAAATCTGCCAATCAATAAGCATGGAAAGTCTTTTTATTTTCTAGTGTTCTTTCCATATTCCTTAGAAATTTACAGAGTTTATTTTAGAAGTCTTTCACCTATTTGGCTAGGTTTATTACGAGACATTTCTTTTTGAGGCTATTGCAAATGGAGGAGTATCCATGATCCCTTTCTCTGTATGTCTGTTGTATGTATATATATAAAAATCTATCTATGTATAAGCATAAAAACTGCTAGAAAAAAATAGGCAGTACCATATAGGATATGGGTATAAGAAAGGATTATCTGAATAGGACCCCGTTTGCCCAGGATTTGAGGCTGACAACCAACAGGTAGAACTTCATAAACCAGAAACACTTCTGCACAGCTAAAGAACACAATGAATTGAGCGAAGAGGAAGGCTACGTTGATTTCAAACTGCTTCAGCCACCCTATAAATAGGCATGAGGAACTCCAAAAGCTAAAAGTAAATCTTCCGTATGACCTAATTTTACTGCTTCTCAGTATACTCCCAAAAGACTCAACAGCATATTTCATAGTTACTTGCATAGCCATGTTCATTGCTGCACCATTCATAATAGGAAATGGAAACAACCTAAATGCCTTTCAACTGATGCATGGACAACGAAAACCTGTGTGCATTTATTATGGCATACTTCAGCCTCACAAAAATAGAAATTTGCAAATTAAATAGACGAAATCAGAAAAGATCATATTGAGTGAGACAACCGAATCCCAGACAGACAAAGGTCATCTGTTGTTCCCACCGTCAAATCTTCATATACTAGTGTGGGCCTCACGCTTGCCAAAGAAATGTCTCTTTGCAACAGAGAAAACTACAACCTATCAAAATGTAGGTAATAAGTCGTGCACATCCCCAGTGGATGCATCTACAACACAACTCCTGTATCCAGGTTCTAAGATCATTCCAGAAGATGGGGACACATCTTGTAAAAGTCAGAGGATCAGTAAGTTTTCTCTGAGATTGTGTCTCCTAGAAATGTCAGAAGCTATGCTCATGAAGTCCCATCAACATCCCTGCCTAACAAGATTTGAACAAGGAGGACACTAATGGACATGCTAACATGAAAGGGGAAAATCTCATCAGGCCAAAGTCTTAGAAAAAGACTCTCAGCAACTAGTCACAGAGAGCAATAAAAATAGGTTTTCCCTGGAAAGGGCCCTTCAACGGACTATCCAATGCAAAATGGTTAACCTTCATTTCATATATCTGCAAGTAGCACTATATGGACTGAGCAGATTTTATTCATATGTTTAGGAATACACATGCACGCACGCACGTGCGTGCACGCGAACAGACACACACACACACACACACACACACACACACACACACAAACAGGTAAAGGAAAAGAGACCACAGGTTTGAGAGAGAGCCAAGGTGAGCACATGTGCCATGGTACATATGTGTCCAGCCTTACTCCAAAAATTAGAAAACTTAAAAAAATATCCTAACTATCTTTACTGAAATGACATTCACACCATCAACGTATGTACACAGATGCACGTGAACCCTTACTTTTCCATCCAAATCTCTTGTACAACTAAATAACCCACTAAATATATGTCTTGGTACACTTTACTCTGTAACGTTTAGTCTTCCTTCCCACCACCTGGTTCCTGTTGCTGCTTTCAGCCCCCAAATAACACACAAGACGCTATATTAATTATGAAGCTGTTGGCCATTTGCTTGGTTTCTTATCATCTAGCTCTGACTTGGTTGTTAACCCATAATTGCTAATATATATTTTATAAGAACTTATCTTTTTGAGGTTGCACTCCTGAGCGCCTGTTGCTCCCAGGAGATCACATGGTGAGAGCTCTCCTCACTACAATTCCCAGAATCCTCCTAGACTACTAGTCCCATCTTGTTTCCCTATTGGCCAATTGTGCTTTACTGAAACCAATCAGACACATATTTACAGAAACACTTTACTTTTGGCTATTTTAATTTAAAGGCTGTTCTAACCTCACTTCAGATTTACTGCATTTGTTCAAGATTCCAGGCAATTCCCATGAGGATGGGCACACACTTCATTTTTATAGGTTTCAGACTGATACTAAAGACAGTCATGAGCAGACTTTCTTTTTGTAGGAAATGACAGTTCACATTTAAACAAAATCTACTCCAATGCAATGTCTTTCTTATTCCGCCACAATTTATTTCACTGCTAATTGAGGAAGGGGTTCAAATCCTGGATTACATATTTGCAACAGTAGATATTTTCGTCTCAGAATGATCTTAGAGATAGGAGAGGAATACGATTCTAGAGTTTAGTCTCAGTGTTGATGTCAGCACAGATTCATCTGTCTGTATCTGAGGTGTCTGTAAAGAGTGTCGTCAGATCTTTAACCCCCTGCTTCTTTGCTGACTTTAGTAGCCTTCCACGTCACCAGCACAGATGGCAAGCAGTGCTTTCTCGTAGTGTCCTGAAGCAAAATTCTGAAAAGAAAAAAAGTGACAATTTTCTATGATTACCTCAAAGTGTTTCCTTAAAAGCAAAGAACAAAAGGTTTTATTTTCAGGGTGCAATGATTTCTCAGGTTAATATTTGTTAACACATCGAAAGCTGTCTAAGTTATTAAAGGCCATCTTCTTTGTCAGATATGTAGCTTTGAGATTCCCAGGGTCAAGTTGCTTAAGTTAACACTTATACTTATGGTCCAGAAAGAATAAAAAGTGAGTTAAATTAAATCATGAAGAGAAGGCTTACTTTGATATCATGAAACAGGGATTTTCCAAATCTCTCCTTGTAACGTTTCCTTATGGTCATCAGGTCGATTTCACTTCTGGCTATTAGAATCCTGATGACAGTTTTGTTATGGAAACCAAAGTCCTAAAATGTGGAAAAGTGGGTAGAGTAAAACAGTACTGTAAAAGGTTGTTCAACATAAACTATAGTCCTTTCCAGAAGCAAATTTGCAGGTAGTCACACAAAGCTCCAACACCACTGCTATCGAAATGGAGTAAGGCTGACATCTGGTGGTCAGTCAGCATAATGTAACTTTTATTTAAAAATGTTTACAGTGTCAATCTACTAACATACTTTATGATGACTTGGGGTGATTAAAACAAACCATCTGACCAAATTTTTTAAATTATTTTTTAAATGAAGGTCATTTGGAGTTTCTTTATGAAAAGTTTAGGGGGGTAAAAGCAGCTTGTTGACAGTTATTCCAGCTCTTCATATATGAACTTTTGCGTTACTTATATATAATCTGCTTTAACTGCAATCTATTTATCAATATGACATTTTTTCTTCCTAGAATGCATAGATATGACTTAATTTATATGCTATCACAATGAACTTCCCTGAAACAGGGATAGCTGGAATCAGAATAACTGGGATTAGCTACTTGCTCAGGGTAATTCACAGGGGATGCTTTAGTTTGCTGCTACAGTCACGGCTCATTGGGGAAGAATTACTGAATTATCTCTACAGCATTGCTCAAGATGCTGCTTGGCACAAAGCAAAGAGCTATGAACAGTGATTTTTCTCTTGGGTTTCGAGGCTGTGTAAATTCTTATGTGTAAGTTAAGAAAACATCTATCTATAAGACACATAATAAAAAATGTTCTTGACGGGCGGTGGTGGGGCACACCTTTAATCCCAGCACTCAGGAGGCAGAGGCAGGTGGATCTCTGTGAGTTCGACATCAAGCCTGGTCTACCGAGTGAGTTCCAGGACAAGCTCCAAAACAATACAGAGAAACCCTGTCTCAAAAAAACAAAAGATAAAAAAAGTAAAAAAAATAAAAATAAAAATAAAAAATGTTCTTATTATTAGTACACTTATCCAACATGATGGCAAATATCAAGAAGTTGGCCAGTAAAATGTCTTTGGTAATACTTTACTTACATACATGAAAGTGTCATAATGAATACTCTGCATGAATTATATATATATATATATATATGTGTGTATAGGAAATAAATTGCTTTAAGAATAACACATTCTGATCATTAAAATGTATACTCTGCTCAAATCACTACACAATTGCATTTAGTGAAATTTTCTTTTTCAAAACCTAAATTTTTATTACGTTTATTGTGTACATTCATATGGGTCTGTGTGTGTCTGTATTGTGTATGCACGTGTGCATGCATTGTGTTTGTGTATGTTTGTATGTATATATTTGTGTGTGCATATGTGTGTGTGTTTGGGTTTATATACGTGTATTTTGTGTGTTTGTGTTAGTGTGTGTGTTGTATGTATATATGTGTTGGATTGTAAATATGTGTATGTATGTATGTGTGTGCATATGCATGTATGTGTATGTGTGATTGTGTGTATTTGCATGTTTGCATACATGAATGTGTGTGCATGTGTGTATTTGCATGTGTGATTTGGTATTCACCTTGTTTCTTTTTACTTGAACACAATTTCTTTTAAGTAAAAACAATATGAATTAATTGTAGATAAATTCTAAAACATTTGTTGTACTTACATGGATTGCCCTATATAATTTATAAGCAAAATAGCTTGCTTTGTCCTGGACACAGCGAACTAGAGAGGCAGAAAGAAAGGAAGATACTTCAATGAAAAGACGTAATTCAGAAGTTGAGAAACAAATAGAACACGTTTACAGTCTGCCAGAATCATCATATTGCAGTAAAATTTTCATACTTAGAATAATGGTAGCACGAGCCATACTCTCTTGAAAAATATATACTCTCAGCATTATATTTTAAAATGACAAGTGATCTTAAATGAGCATATGACCATGATTACTATTTTTTAAAATGTGGTGCTAATCATAAAAACTTAATAGTATGATCCATTCATCTTCCTGAACGCCACCTATCCACATAGTCTCTAAAACTGGTCTAGACTAGTTGCTCTTTTGGTGGCATTGGATTCTTTATAGGGATCCTTTAAAGAGAAGCTGTAACCAACATAAAGTGTTTTCCTCCAGTTTTAGATATCACTAACTAAACTTGCCATGGCTTTAAGCAGCCTGGAGCCTTCCCAGCAGGTGTTCCTGTTAATATCAGTTGAGACTATAGACCATCAAATAGTCACATTTATAAAAGTTAATAGAGTCATCACATGAATGGGTAACAAATGGGGAGCTATACCATTTCTTCAAAATAAAATCATTAGTTTCTATTCAGTTCAAGTAATTATTGTGGGTATCAAGACCATATCTTCATCTTTATCTTATTTTCATTACAGAGAGAAGTAATGCTAATAACCATTCCTGAGTCACTTCTGGAACTCCCAGAGGGCAGGGGCTTCTGTTGATATTTTTGGTTTTGTTGCTCTGGTATTTTACCTGCAGTATCCAAATTAGAGACACAGTAGGTGCTCATTCAATATTGACTGACATTAATCAGATAATTTTTTCCTGGTGTTCCTGATGTCCACTTTTTGTTCCCCCAGACCCACTGTTTTGTGGCAACAGTTGGATTTTCTTGATAATTCAGACTTGAGTTCTATTCTAACTCTAATTAGCTGACATGTGATGTATGCCTAGTAAATCAATAAATCTTCCTGAAGTGTGTGCTGCCAAGCCACAGAGCACACAGTAAACCATGGACACTGGAGTAGTCTCAATGAATAAGAACAATAGCCTTTTCTACTATGGGCATGCCTGTAGAACTCACTACTAATTAATAATTTATGTTTTTGTTGATAATACAATTTATCCATGAAAGCAAATTTATTAAAGACAGTAAAATTAAACACATATCAAAAGCAAAAATTTGAAAGCCCCTTTCATCTTGGAGACAAGAACATAATCACACTGTTAGCATTTATCTGCTCCTGAAAAGCGGGGTTGACGTCAATGATCCAAACAGATTTGAAGCTGTGGTGGTTGATTCTTTTCTCATATAAAAGTTGAGCCTGTTCTTCGGGAATTATGTCACTTCATTGATGTCTCCAGTTTGTTGGGTCATTGCATCAAACCATTTGCTGATGGACTTTTCTGGAGTTTATGGATCATTCAAATAATTGCATTGAGGAAAATGTTTCAATTAAATCCTACTCATGCACATTTAATATACTCAGAATCGGTCAGTACTAACTGCAGAATGCAAGGAGGTTCTGTTGTTCATCACACAAAATACAGCTTACCAATTGCAACCAGCAGCTCTTGAAAGTAGCCTTCATAACAGTCATTGATGGCATCTACCATGTCTTGGCCAGAAATACTTTGAAATTCCTGAAAAACTTCAAGAAATTTATGCAATTCAAAAGAGATTTTTAAAAATATTCACCATAAACTTAAAGCACAAACCCTGGCTATTTTACTATACATAGAGAGGTAATTGTCTTTTCTGAAGCATTTCCTAGTGTTACTACTCATTTTGATGAAGGTTCTACTCTTTGCAACAAGTACAGACCCTATGAAATGATAAAACTTGCATTAATCCTGGATTCTAAGTGTCTGCTCTTGCTGGGCTGGGGAAGAATGGTTACTTCAAATGGAACTCATTGACTCAAATGCTGATTTAGATGGAGAGAAGGCACAGGATGAGCTATCATCTATGAGACATTTCCAGAGGACACACATGATAGTCTAAATTTACTTGTCAACAGGAAACTTTCTACTAGAGCTTAAATATCAAAGTTAAATACAAAACTCTTCTGAGTGATGGATAGGAATAGGGTTTGGAAGAGCGATTTTGAGAAACAGGATATTCCTATTAGCAGTATAACTTACTAATATAAAATAACAACCAACTAAAATTCTGCTTTAAACAACTTACCCCACTGGTTCTATCCTTGGCAATGTTTAGTCTCAGCCCTTTCAACTTAGATGTGAAGAAGTATTGTGATTGTTAGTACTAATCTTAAACTGACATTAAATAAAAGAGGAATAGTTGAGTAAGAGTAAACTGTTGTTATAAAGATTGATAGTTTACGTTTCATTTAATTGTATTTAATTTGTTTCTCTACTGAGGTAAAGGAAAGGTGCAGAGTTTGGAGAAAGTCAAGTGTAGATTAATGTAAACACATCTCAAAGACCAATAGGTAGTATGGATATCTCATAAATTGCAATGTCTGTAACAAAGACCTTAACTCATTGGCTGGTCACACTAAGCTCACTGAAGACAATTCAAGACACAAGATAATGTATCTGGAATGAAATAGCTAATGCATCTAAATAGATCAATTTTAAGAGTAAGTATTTGAAAGCTATAGGATAACTGTTGGGAAAAATTAAATAATGGCAGAGTTTTATTCTTTAGCAGTGCTATTAAATGAGGCATAATGTGTACAGACATTATTCAGGGTGCTAACTGACTTTTCTCTATGTCTGGGTGACAGTCCCTCTTTTATCTTAATTCCTTGTATGTCAGTCAATCAGTTAAAGAGTTGTAAAGTCTCCAGTTACCCAGCCATAGCTGTGGGTAGCTCTTGTTGCACAGGATCATCTGCAGCATGGTTTTATGCTCCCCTGTCTTCTGCTGGCAGGCTTCCCACAGGACCTGCAACATATCAGAAGGCATATCAGAAGCAACCCCTCACTCTATCAAAGCCTTGGTTAGTCGGGGGAGAGGCAGCTAAGTTACCATCGCATCCTGGGCAGCCGTGGCAGGATCTGCGTATCCTTCCTCCCTGGTCCCCTGTGAAATAAGCAGGGGGTTTCCTTTTAGATGGTCTCAATGCACGGAGCATATAGTGAAGCTTTCATATAATTATTCTTTATCAATAAAAATCAGGAGTCAGATATCGGGGCAAGAATTTGAATGAGCAGAGAAACAGCAGAGAAGCCACCAGTGACCTCCTATCTCTTCTGCTCCTCCAACCAAAAGGGACGAGACCCTCTCTAAGACCTGCCCTACTCCTTTCTGTCTTTATCTGTCCTCAATCCTCTAAAATCTCTACGATTAATTTTGGTCAGGTAGTAGCTAGTTCTGCCTTCTGATCAAAAAAATAACTTCATTGTCAGTCTTGGGAGCATTGGAATACAATCAAAATATCACGGAACAATATAGGATTATTGGGACAAAAATCCCTGACCTCCCAAACACTGGTGATTCCTTTGAATCTGTTACTAATTTAGCAACTTTGACACATGAGGAATTTATGTGTAATTTTGTAAGGAATTTCATTTTGAGTTTTTCTTTGCAACAGAGGAATTTTGTGAAAAATGCTGAGATGGTTTTTGCTTTGCTTTTCTCTGTGAGGTATTTTGCTCCATCAGGATGACCATCCTCCATCCCGTGCCAGAGGTGGTAGTGATAGAGCTTGACTGTGACTTTCCCTATAATGAAATGGCTCATGCCAGTGAAGTCAGTGAGATTGGAAGATGAACAAATGTGTGTGTGCGCACCTGTGTGCACATGAATGGATAATGGGTATAATATTGGATTTAGTTATGAATTAGTTTCAACTTCTAAATAACATGACTAGTACTTCAATTTTCTTACCTTCTTTTTGGTAGAGGAACTTACACTTTGCCTGAGGAGCTGGTGGCAAAGCTTGAATAATGGTGGTGTTTAGGATCATTACAAGAACCACATTTCAAATATTATACTGAGATAAGATTGACCAGAACTGCATAGGAGATAAGGCTAGTCCTTAGTGGGACACCTCAGATGCTAAGAAGGTAATGGGAGGTGAATTAATTTATCTTAGCTTTGACCAAGCAGAGACAGAAAAAAGCATCATTTGTTAACAAGCTGTTCAGTTGGAGAGTTAGTGCTGAGAAACTGTCACATTAAAACCTTGCATTATCTATTCAGGCCTATCCAGACCTGATATTTCATAGTAACAATCAAAAAGGATGCGGAAAACATCTTTGCTATTTGAGGATACCATCCTTTGCCAAGACATGGTATAAGCCATATACATATCTTTCCACCTAGTAGCATCTTGGAAAGAAGTGATGGAGAGAACGTTGAGAGTTGAGTGGTCAACTCAATAAAATTATCACAGAAATTGAATATGAACCTATACACTTTGACTGCTCAAAGTATTGTATGGATTAAATTTACCATATTATATTAAATATTATGCATTTTCCCATTTTTTGCTAACACAAATCTAGACACATCTAGGAAAGTTTAATTATTCAAAGAGAAACAAATTCACATTTTCTTAATGACTAAATGTGTAGTCCTAAAAATTAAGGAAAAGGAGATAGCATCTAAAGAATGAAAGTGATTTTACTGGCCAGTGGGATTATGGGTGTTATTTTATCTTTAAGTTATGAATGTATGGCAGTGCAATATCCATAAGAGGTCTTACATTTCTTCCTTATTTTGGAGATAAAAAAATGCATGGACTTAGAATTATTAAATCAATCACCTCAGGTCTGAGAGTTAAAGAAGGACAGTTATTAGATACCAGTGGCTTTGCTTGCTCTGATTTAGTTATCATCTGGGAACTCATTATTTTCAACAATGTCCTTGGATTCATTATGAATTTTTGCTAAAAATTTCAATTTACAAAAAAGAGAAAATAAAGCATTGTATCTTTTGTGAATCTGTACTGTTTATATACAAGTTCATCACAGTGATCGCTAGTTTTTAATCTTATTTGAAATTTTTTGGCAGGCTTAGGTGTAATTTGTCCTTTTTTTCCTTGCAGTGCTTTCATGACTGGGCTTCATGTAGTCTTTGTTTCCTTGCTTTGGTTATCATTGAAAACTACTCTGAGCAACCTGTACAATTCATCGTACCCACTCTGCCCAGCCTTACAAGTCCTGTCTCCCTCTTACTGATTGGATACATTTTTCCATCACTTTCAAAAGTTATTTAAAATATCTTTATTCATTATTGCCTAACAATTTAATTTGCTTTGCTAGATGTGAATTTCATAATCCCTACAGGCTCTGTCTCCTTCGTTTACTAATGATTCTCAATTGTCAAAAATTGTATTTGATACTTTGTAAGTAGCAAAGAACTTCTCATGGGGAAGACAAAGAATGCTTTTTAGATGGCAGACTTTTATGTTTGCTTTCTGGATCTCTGAAGTATGATCTTTAGTTATGCAGCTAAGTAAGCTCCATCGCTTACAAAGATTGGAAGAACTTCTTGGAGATTTTCTGCAGTTCTATGGTCTGGGCTTTTATTTCACTCGTAGTTGTGTCCATCTGTATGTGAGTATAGAATTAGAGAAAAGGGAACGATAGAAAAGAAAGAAATTAAAGGTATGATTAGGAAAACTGACTACAGATAATTACAGAAGGGTGATTGGAGCCATGCTCTGGATGCCTCACTGTACAGATTTCAGAGAGGACCTCAAGAGAATCCTGAAAGCCAAGAGGAGGAGTGAAGTGCTGTATTTAACCAGGTTGCTTCCCTTCTATTTGAGAAAGTACTTATGCACAATGTAATTTGCACATGTTGATTAATTAATCTCCAAGAGACTAATCCTTCTTTACTTGACAGATAATTAGACCCTCCACAAATGTAGTGTAATAAAAGCATGCAGGAAGTGTTGTGGGCCAGCTTAATTACTGGCATCAGTTTTTTTCAAGAGGAGCACGTTCCCCTTCAGTTGTTTCTTGGCAGAAAATCCTGTGTAGACAGACCAAGTACAAGGTTTCCCTCCCAGCAATCATAGCAGTGATTTCCACCCTGTGCAGCTTACGAATGCTTTTAAGTTCTGATGTTCTAATTCCCTGTCTTCATTCATATGCTAACGGGGGTCTGTCTGAGTTTTAATGATGTTTGAAGAATGCAATCTATGAATCAACTTTCCTTTGATTCTGAAAGTGAAGGTGCACATGGGATGGGATGGTGTGATTGCCACAGTCAAGACTGATAGAATGTTTGTATTGTGCAAGAACTGAAAGAATTAGCTCATGTTCATGAATTTGGGGAGCAGTAGTCTTAATATCAAAAATAAATCAAGTGATAAACCCAAGCATATGCAACTGAACTCTAATAGAGCAAGAGAAAAAAGAAAACCTATCTGTCTGCCTGCCTACCTACCTACCTATCCATCTATATATCCATTTCCTTTAGTGTATGTGTGTGTGTGTGAGAGAGAGAGAGAGAGGGGAGGAGAGAGAGAGAGAGAGAGAGAGATAGAGAGAGAGAGAGAGAGAGAGAGAGAGAGAGAGAGAGAGAGAGAAAGCAGAGGCAGAGAGAACATGGGTACCTACATGTGGTAGAGAAAAGGGTAGAGGCTATCAGCTCACAATGTAGTCCTAATCAACTCTCAACTTCCCAAATCACTTTATGGAAATCAGGGGCCCCAAGAAAAATAATCACTAAGTGTAGAAATAAAAAATCAATGGAAAATTTCAAAATATTTAAAAGCCTAAGGAAAATCATATAGTAAACATTCTGAATCATTGTATAATTTCTATGCTTCAAAAGCACTATAAACAAATGAGAATATTTTTACTTCTATATTAGTTTAATTTGTTATCTCAATTTTTGAGTTTACTAATCCCCATGAAATATACATTGTTTTATTCTTATTTTTGACATTTTGAGGATAATGTACTATGAAACTGTGTAAGCACATAATATTAAATAAACATTGTTTATATGTACAGACTGCTAAGGGAAAGAAACAAGTAAAATAAAAAATAGAAATAAGCAAGAGCATTTTAGTAAAGTGGTAAATTAACTAAAATTTTTCTTGCTGCCTGCAAAATCTAAGTTTCAATTCACCCCTCATTTTCTTCTGGTGAAAGTTCTACTGTATTTCATGCTGCCACAAGGGTACACACACAGACACACACACACACACACACACACACACACACACACACAGAGAAATATGTTTATGTTTACTCTTCAGATATCAAATTTAAGAGTCAATACTTTATCTCATCAATTTATAATTATATTAGGTAGAATCCAGTGACAAGGTAATCTTGCACCATATGCATATACAAAACAAAGACTAGATAGATAAGTAGATAGATCTTAGACAGATGAAAGATAGATGATAGGTAAATAGATAATAAATAGGAGAGTTATAGATATTTAGATAGATAGATAGAAGATGGATAGACGATAGGATATGCTAGACAGACAGACAGACATGTAGATTATCTTTTCCTCTTGCTCAAATATAATTCAGTTATATGGAAGAATCTCTGATTGGAAACTATTGTTTTAATTTACATTACATAGCATCATTACTTTAAAGTAAAATATGACTCTCCTTCTAAACTTATAGAATGTTTTAATTAAAATTCACCTCGTGAGGGCCAGCAGGACAGTTCAAGGAATTAAATGTGTTTACTCCCATGCCTGGTGACCCAACTTTGATTCCTTGAATCTATGTAGTAGAAAGAGACAACAGACTCCCACAAGTAGCTTTCCCATTTCCCACATATGTCTTCTGGCTTACAGGGAATGAAATACATAAACAAAAAAATGTAGTATACATTTACCTTATGAAATGTAAAGTTTGAAAACGAGCTATTGAAATAGTAGGGAGGAAACATCTTAAACATGGAAATATTTTCTAATAAAAGAGAAACTTCCATTTCAAATTAAAGTAATATTCTTACCATATTTCTTTACTCAGAAATCTGAATTTTGAGGATAAGTTCCATTCTTTATTTTGTATGTTACTAGAACTTAAAATTCCCACTCCAGATGTTGATTAATTAAGGTTGGTGATAGGGGCAGTTTCATGAACTATGTACTCACACCAAACACTCCAAAACAAACCTAGCTAAACAAATATCAAGCTCGATAAAACAAGTTTTTGATCTTGGCTATAATGATTTCATGTAAAATGAAAAAATTATTTTATCTTATGGTTCAATAGATTTGCTTGGTATTATGCCTCGCTTTATAAAACATTAATTTTTTAAAATTGAAAATAGATTCTTCTCTCATACAATATATCCTGGCCACAGTTTTCCCCTCCCTCCACTCCTCCCATCTCCCTTTCCCCAGATTCACTCCTCCTCCATTTCCTCTTCAGAAAAGAACAGGCCTCCAAGAGAAGACAGTCATACTGAATAAGACTAGAGACAGTAAGACAAGGCAAAACCCATCATATTGAGGTTGGGCAACATGCCTCACTTTTTTAAAATGAGAAATTTAAAAGAATCTGTTTAGTCACTAACAATTTTCCTCAGTGTGAAGTCACTAACATTTGGCTTCTTTAGCAGTCTACAAAAAGTGTTTCTATTTTTATGCCTTTTTAAATGAAAAATTTGATGTTAGTATATGAAGTAATGAAGTTATCATGGCATATTAATGCATATGTATCATTATACTTTGTTTTCATTAACTTCTAAGTTATTTTAACTTTTTAAAAGAAGGCCACTCTTGATATTAAATAGGGTTGGTTTGACTTAGATTTAACTAATGAAAGTTGAAAGATAAAAGTATACCCAATATAAGGAAGCTCCACTGTGCTGTTGATTTTGGAGTTTGAAGTGGCTTAATAAATGTGTAGATAAAAAGATGGGAGGAGACTGAGCCTGTGGGGGAGAAGGTCTCTCATCAGAAGCAGCTGTTCTGATCTTGAAAAATGAATTTTGTCCTATGCTTTAAGCATGCAATAGAAACAGGAGTCAGACTCAGTAAGGGCTTAGTTGTTTTGAAAACAGGAGTTAAAGACATGAGACAAAGTTTAGAAATCTGATTCTTTTAAGTGTTATAAGGGAAAAGTGACTGGAGAGTAGCAGATTTCTTGAAAGGGAAGAACAAGTGTAACTTAGCCTTGCAGTAATAACAGTGCTATTTTATTGTTTGAGAGCCTTGCAGTTATGAAACAAAGAGACATAATGAGGATGCAAGAATGCAAAAATAAATCATTTAAAACACACATCTCAAAAAATTTGGAGTGTGGGTAATTGTGCATGAATCTAACTGTGAGTGGGTAAGTAGGTCGTCATTCTTCCAAGTTTTCAGGGTTGTTAATTTTTCAGAGACTTAGAAACCTGTGCTCAAGAAGAGCTGGCTATGCAGTTTTTGAGTAAGTTGTTGGCCCTTTTAACTTTGCCAAATTAGAATTCTTAAGGAGGGTAGACTCTATGGCAGCCCACAGGAAGCCAAGACTAATCAAGGACAAGGAAACAACCACAGACATGTACAGGGTAAAAAAAATTCAGGGAACTGGTGAAATGTCTCCATGGGTAAAGACAGTTGTTGCTAAACCTGATGACCTGATTTTGATCCCAGGGACCCACATGATGGAAGGAGATAACTGACTCCCACAAGTCATACTCTGATCATCACACTGCACACTGGTACCATGGTATGTATGCATGTGCTACCCTCATACATAAATTTCAATTAAAAAATCCAGGAAGGCACAGTAATCAGCAAAAGAGCTTTACAGAGAAGAGAAAGAATACATGACGTATCCTATTGTATTTTCATCAGGTGATTCTACAGAAAGAATGTAGGTCTGGGTAGCCAACTGGTGTGCTCTTCTCTATTACTCCAGCTCCAGTATAAGCTGGTATATTTAGGAACACACACACACACACACACACACACACACACACACACACACACACACACACAATGAGAAAGAGGCCATGAGTCTGAAAACAAACAATGAATGTATACAGGAGGATTTGGAGAGAAGAAAGGGAAAGCAGACACATTACAATTACATTAATCTCAAAGTGTAAAACATAATTAAACAAAAAGAATGTGTGTGCTGCTACTTCCCTCCTTGCTTTATCATAAAGGGCACTCCTTTATGCTTCCTTCTTCAAAGGCAGTTGATCCTTTTCTCCACTGCACATTATGGTGTGTGGAATTCTATAGCTGTTAGTAAAATTTTTGTTTCTATGGCTGATAGGTTGTTTTGATAATTACTGAACTATGCTTTTGATTTATAAAGGAAAGGTTTTTAGATTTATAAATTATTATTTTACTTTAGACACACGCCATTAAACACACTATAACATACACACTCCAGAACACACACAACACACACACACACCAGAACACACACGACATAGTATACATACTAAAACATCCACACTATAACACACACTCTTAAAATGAAAGAAAAGCCCATGCCTTCAGGATGTCTTCTGAACCTGCGAGGTTTTGTACTTTCTTTTACCATTTACGTGCTGAACATTGACCTGCTTGAGTTCCTAAATGCTTTTCCTCAGTAGGACAACATGAACATTCAAAAGCAGACATAAACTAAAAGGTAATTATACTTTAAAATATCACTGTTATTACAATTAATATATGGAGTGTTGATGAGAAATGTTAATTGGATAGAAATAATTACATAGCATTTAGTCATTATAGAAAAGAAGATAAATGACAAAATATGCTTTTAATTAAAAGTGAGATTCCTCTTTTGGTAATGTATAGTACAATGGATCTTACACAGGTTGCACTGAGACCATTTGTTGGAAATAAAATACAGTAGGAACAAAGTAGATTCTGCATTTCAATGGACTGACTTCTTGGATGACTAATGCACGTGCACACACATTGACACTCACATTTTTGTGGTGCTGGACATCAAACCTAGGTGTTTATGCAGGTTAGGAAAACACTTTGTTGCTAAACTATACATGTCAAAAAACCATACCTTACTTTAAAAAAATATTTGCTTCTTTATTTGAGAATTACTCTAAGAATATCTGTATTATTCTGTTTTGTTGCATTACATGAGAAATCAATTCACTTACCACATAAGACTAAATACAGAAGAGTATCAGCGCAGGACATTTATTATGTCTCCAACACATCTACTAGTTTAAAATAATGGAATACGGGGTTGTAGAGATAGTTCAAAGGTTAAGAGTACCGACTGTTCTTCTTGAGGTTTTATTCCCAGCATCCATATGGTGCCTTGCAACCACTGGAACCCCAATTTCAGGGAATCTTATGACTTATTCTGGGCACCTCCTAGCACCAAGCATGTGTGTGGTGCACAGATACACAAGTAGACAAAACACCCATATACATAGTTTCTTTTAGTTGCAAAAAATAAAAGCTGGAGTAGATGTATAATTTAAGTTATAAATTTAAAAGTAAAGTTTTAAGTTTTCTAAATAATCATGCACGTATGTGTGTTTATAATAAATTGGAATACAGTAGATTTACAATATTTTGAGACAAAGCTGGTGCACATTCATATTTATAATATGTGTAAGTCAAGTTTTAAGTTAAGTGACTCCAACTTGGCTAGTAGTAATAGTTATTATGCAGAATGTATGGGTTAACTGTAATATACTGGACTTTGTGTTATATTTGGTGAGGATGAAATGTGTCTGTTTTTTAAAGAATATAAAATATTTTGATTTTGCAATATCATACCTGAACCAAGTTCATGAGAGTATCTCTGAAGTGTCCCGAGGTCTCTGAATAAATGTCCTCTTGAAGGTTATTGCTGTATTCTGGGCAATAAAAACATCCAAGTTAAAAGAGTAACTTATTACAGAACCTCATATCAATGGACTTTACATAGCTAATAACGAACATTAATGATGAGGAGGCCATTAGTCAGTTTGTTGGGTTTTTGTGTATCATAAACGATGTCAAAGACACCTGTATCCTAATTGTAATATCAACCTAGGTCTATTTTACTGAAAAGATAATTTTGAGCCAACATTGAAAAAGAACACTTCTCAGCCTTTCATTCTGTAGGTCAGGGTTGGTTATACCATGTTGTAGACTGTTGGCTGGGCTAACCATTCTCCCAAGTGCTCCACCTCATTTTAATGTTTCAAGTGATAGGTCTTATTTCATTCTACTTGAGAAAAGTCTTGAGTTAGTTTTAGAAAGCATGAAGGCTGACTGTGAGGAATGCTCAATGTTCATAATAACAAGGGGGTGGAAATCAAGGCATTACACATTTTTAATGTGAAAATTATCTTTTTATTTTAAATGTAAAAAGGTTTGATTTTGAGGTAACTTGGGATGGTGATGTTTATGTAAAGTTGAAAGATGTGTTTTTTGAGCAATGGTCACTGTTTGTTGTATGTTTCTACACTCAAGGTATCTGTTGGGTAAAGGATAACATATCTCTAAACTTAGGTGCTGGGCACTTCCTGTCATACTAAAGCGTCTACTCATAGATACTTGTAATCCCATTAGAGAAAAATTTGCTTGATTTCTTAGGGAATTATTTCACTAACAAATTAGTTTTGAGGGAGTCATGTTAATTATATCTATTGGCTTCCATATTTTAGTCTTTTGGTTGATGTATAATCATTGTATGTATTTATATGGTACAATATAATGTTTCAACCCATGAGTACATTGTCTAATGCTATCCACTACTTAGCATTTTTATATGATACAACTACTCCTCTGTGATGGCTACACTAAGGTATAAAGTAAATTATTATTATTATTGCTCTTCATTGTCCTCTTCTGTAGGTATCAGAACATATTCCTCCAATATATGACAGTGTACCAGATGATCAACCTCCCTCTCCTTCCTCCTGTTTATTCCCCAACCCCCCATTTTACTTCAGTGACTCATATTTCAAACATTACAGTGCCCATGGTGGCTAATATTCATTGTCATATTGACATATCTGGGAAGAAGGAACCTCATTTAAAGAACTGATTCCTTCAGATTGATGTGTGGGCATGTCTGTAGTAGGATTTTTCTTGACTGTCAATTGCGGTAGGAGGGCACAGCTTGGTTCCGATGGTGCCATCTCTGCACAGATGAGCCTGAAGTAGCCCAACTAGGTAACTGAGCAAGGCAGGAGAAACAAGCCAGTAAGCAATGTTCCCCCATAATCTCTGCAGCTCCTTCTTCAAGGTTCTTGATTGAGTTACTGTACTAACCCCCATCAGAGATGGACTGTGACCTGTAGGTCAAATAAACCACCCTTTTCTACTTGCTTTTGGTCAGTGTTTTATCACAGTAACAGAAAAATAAAACAGAAGTGTGCCTCAAAAGATTTAAAATATATAAAACAGAATACTTTCATATGTTACTTGATTGTACATGTGCATAATATATACATATTTATTTCCTTACGTAAACAATAGGCTTCTCGAATCTGGAAAATCTCCCCATTTGTTCTTGAAGCTAATATTTCAATGAGGCAATTCTCATCAGTGCCTGCACCCTAAAAGTCAGAGAGAAACATTAAGACATTTTTATTTGGAACAACAAGCTACTTCCTGTACAATAAAAGTACAAAGCATTCACGGTATTAGAGACAGCAGAGGGGAAAGAAAGTGCATTCAGGATAAAAAGTCAGCTCACTCTCAGGTCTGTGCCCACTGTCCACTGCTTTCATCCTTGGCAAAACGAAGTTGTCTGTAGGAATTGTGTCCCTTTACTTAGAACAACAGTATGGGCACTGCTAATCAACACACTAAGTTCTTCCACTTTCCCCTGGAGTGGAATTTGAAATCCCATGTGTTGCTGGAATATCGGCTCTTAAGCAGTTTGAAATTAGATTATAGGTCTCATAATTTATCAAACACATTTTGGTGACCTGTTCTTCATCTTACTGGTTGTGGAACTGTTCTCAGATTGTCTCAACATTGGAACTGGCTGTGTTCTGCAGAACCTTTGAGCATACAATGTACTCATCTGTGATCATGGTTTTAAACGTAGTACATCTCTTTCAGAAAGTCCCTGGGACATGTTGCCGTGTTGTGAAGTGTTGAGAAAACCTGCTGGTTCCCTCTCAACAGTCACGTATGACCTCATTCTTAACCGTTTTCTTTCACATAGCTTCACAAGAAACAGGGGATTGGCTTGATAAATTTGAAAAAGTGTGAGTGGTTGTAATTCCTCTGAATTTTATAAAATCACTATTCTGATCAGTGGATATTATGGCTAAAATTCATGTATCTTAAATTTGTTGCTTGTCTCATATCCGTCACATATTGTGGTGATCTGCTCTTTGACAAGCACATTATGGGAGGATTTTTAACAGTCTATAGGAGGTTAATGCAGCATTTGAAAAAAGTCCTTTCTGCCAAAACCCCATAAAATAAAATCTGCAACAGACCTGTAATTTATTTCACAAGCATGACTTTTCTGTAAGATCTTACTTCTTTCAAAGTAAAATTTTAATGCACTGAGCAATACTTCCCATATGTATTTAATCTAAGGTCATAAAAATAACGTCACTGATAGTTTGTCTCTGATTCAGTATTTTATTTTGATCCTGAGCTAAATGTTTTCCAAGTAAAATTTTAAAGGTTCTCATGATTTTAAACCCATCTTCCTCAACTTGAGAACGTATATGGAAGAAACACAAATGTGAGAAGCATGGAAGGCTAACTCACTCAGGGCTGTAGGAACTGAGTCTGTCTGGCCCCAGCCTCTTGCCTCAGAGACTCCCTTTCCCCAGAAAACCTTTTCTTAACACAGTATTGCCATGGTTACATATTAGATATTCTCTTTTGTCTCGCCAATCATAAAGTGCAGGAGCATGCTGGGGAAGCCTCTCCTTTGTTGAAATCTGAGCCTGCCCTGTCGTAGGTGTGTTATTGAATCCGCTTGTGTCTAATGCACATGTGTTATTGGGTCAGTCGCTACCTTCATGGCATGCCAGAGTTCATGAGCATCGTAAGATGGTGGGGGGTACATCAGGCCCACCATCACTTCTTTGAAGTGAGATGAAAGTTGCTCCTTCAGATCAGCAATCAGGTCCTAGGGAGGAAGACAAAACATGAAAATTATAGGACTCACCATATTTACTAGAGAAGTATGACTGTAAGGCGTCTTCTATGAAAATGTACTTTTTCTACCATCAGATGGTAAGTGTGGTTTTGACACACACGCACACACATACCTTTTGGTTACACCAGACAATAAACTCAAGGGGTTAAAATGAAATGACTGTTTTAATCACATCTATGAATGGCAGAGCATGTGGTAATTTTAGTTACATCAGCAAGGGAGCCATTTCTTTTAATACTCTCTCTCCAGTCCTCATGGCTCTTTTGGTTTTCTCGTGAAAATAAACATTGAACCTGAAAATATTTCAGTTTGGAATCTTTGGTTTTCCTAGAAAGAACTAATTAACCATCAATCCTTAAATAAAACATGTGTTTTACTTTATTTCCTCATTATGGAAGTCTCTTTTAGCAGGGTGTACTTGGTTATTCAGTGAACTAAAAGCTTACAGAAATCAATTAATCATATAAATTATTCAAATAACAGCCACAATATTTAAAATATTGAATATTAATTACTTAAAGAGAAAAACACACATGCTAGATTTTAGTTCTTGGAATGCTGGTATAAAATATTAAACTGATACTTTAGTGTTTGCTTAAAACTGCTAAATTAAGTTTCTGAGCATTTTATCAGGACACTTGAGAGATGTTTAAAATTTATTGTGTTTTGCTAAAACCTGTAAAATATATCCAGGTCTACTTAAAAGTGTGCAACAGTATTCAGTATTTTGCACTATTACTAAGGCATAAAAACTACACTGGAATAAATTCAAACTGGTCAGACTCTTATTTACAAGGAAAGTAAGATGTGCATATGGAATTGTTAAACCAGTTCTACATCAATATCAAGTTGGTTTGAAATCAAAATATTTGTGGATACTCAGACATTGATTATTCCATCCTGCTTTCGAGCGCACAGAGGAATGTTTCTGAAAAATGGGGACCTGAACTCAATATGTCACTATGAAGTGATTAATAACACTCAGGCAGCTGATGCAAAGGTGTAACACTTGGATCGACTTGTAGCCCACTAGCCTTCCTGTAACCCTAAGTTGATTCCTTATCTGATGTCCCAGTAATTTTTAATTTATTATATTATAATGATCTAGATATGTGATTAAACTTCATATGCTTATATTTTTCCAGTATCTATCAACACATGGATTGTTTCAAAAAAATTTAAACTCAGAATTTAGCTCTATGGTAGTATTGTGCACACAACATATAGGTATAACATATTTAATATGTAAATGAATTCATAATAATAAAAGAATAAACAAATACATAAATAAATAAGTGTGGAAAAAGAAATAGCTTTTGATTATGTACAGGGAATAAATGTTGTATTTAAGCTGAAGATAATATGAACATTCCAAGTCTTTGATATAGTCTTTAAGCACATTCGTTTGATCACTCTTCTCATTGCATATGTACATAATGGGATCTTTAGTTTCTTTACACATTATACCAATTCTAGACCAATATGGAGCATGTATTTCACTGTCATGGAGGTTAGGCTTACCACTAGATGGCGATATATATCTACATTTTGTAATGTATGTGTGTGAGCAAGAGAAAGAGAGAGAGAGAGAGAGAGAGAGAGAGAGAGAGAGAGAGAGAGAGAGAGAGAGAGAGAGAGAGAGAGAGAGAGAGAGAGAGAGAGAGAGAGAGAGAGAGAGAGAGAGAGAGAGAGAGAGAGAGAGAGAGAGAGAGAGAGAGAGAGAGAGAGAGAGAGAGAGAGAGAGAGAGAGAGAGAACGCTATAGTTCGTTTTTAAAATTTCAAATAGCAGTTTAGTGAAAGAAGCCATATTAGATATCCTTTGCTGTCACGGTGTTATAGTTTCTAATCTTGTTTAAATTATTGGCTTCAGAGTAAAAGAGCATTACTAAATTTCTTTGAATTTTCACCTCTCTGAGTAAAGAAAAGAACAGCCCTCCTCACAGGATTACCATAAGCATTACAAGACTTAAGTGAAAGTGTTAAAAGATGTTTTAACACTCAAAAATGTACTTCCCAAATGTCATTCCCTCCAGAATAGTAAACGATGTTTGCAAATCAGTAGTCTTCAGCTATAAACAGTGGCTTCTGTCCCCTTGTTTTCCTTGCCTCTCTCTCTTTTGCTGCCTCTGTATCTCAGAGCTTTATCTCCCATCTCTTCTATTTTCTCGGCGTCCCACAGTCAGTACAATTGTCGTCTCTAACCGGGAAATGCAGCTGTGTCTGAGGACGGTACATATGGTGGTTCTATAGGAACGCAATGGAGACGAGATGTTCCCGTTGCTTAGTGACCCCTGGTTTCCCTGTTTGAGCAGGTGCAGCCAGTCTGCGATGCTGACTTCACACCTAACGCCTTGCTCAGCTCCTGTGCTTGCCAAGCTGCAGGTTGTTAAGCAGCTATTGCTGCTTCCTCCTCTGTAAGCCTTGGCCATGCCATCGTCTACCTTCTGCAATGACAGCGCAGCCATCTGACGAGCTCGTTCCCTCTGTTCTCTTGAAAAACCTGATGGAAATGTTCTCCAAACACACACACACACACATCAGAAAATCGTTCTTCTACCCTAAATGTTCCCCCATGCAAAAATAAATGTGTCTTTCTCTTCTATGTGGCTTACGGTTTATCTCTGAAAAAAAGCGGGCACTGGATATGTTATTGCACGTAAATATAAATGTAAGTTCTTACCAGGGTTGATAAAACTTACAGTGTATCCGGATCACTTCTTGGCTCCCATCTCTCTTCTCCTTGCTCCTGATTGGTCTACTCCAGCTATGGTGGCCTTCTCCCTGCTTCTGGAACAGCAGGTCTGCTCTGTTGCCTGACTTTGACCTATCTTGCCACCTTGCATGTTCTACAATGTACCCTCATCCGTCACCATTCTCTGAAAACCTCATATAGCCACTTAGTCCTGCGCCGCACCCCCAGCGCTCCCGGCGTTTCTCACCTGGCTTTGTCTTTGTTTCACAGTACGTACTGTCTTCAAACTGACATGTTTTACCAAGTAATGGTCCTTATCTCCAAGGCTCGGCTCCATGATGGCCGAGATTTGACCTGCTTTATCCATGGCTCTTTCATGAGCCCATGGAGTCGTGCCTGCTAACCACTAAGTATTTATAAAATGAGAGTAAAGAGCACAAATGAACGGATAGGGCAACATGTAATCCAACCATTTTTTTTGTTTGCAGTCATTCTTGGTGGTTTGAAAACAAACCAGGAAAGCAACCTCTGCTCCCAGCAGCCTCCTTTGAGTGGAGGGCTTGGAAATCAGGGTAATAACCAGGGCACAGAGCACACAGCAGGGCGAGGCCTGTCGAGGTGGGGATAGCATGCTATTATTAGGAAGGAGACTGTGCCTTCAGCTGGGAAGATAAATATTGAATTGTGTGTTTAAATAAGGGGACTTGGAAAGTTCAAAGAGGAGCACTCAAATGGCTTCCTAATGAGAGCCTTAAACCCTCCCTTGGCGCCATATAAATGGCTTCTCAGGTGCAGCCTTTGGAGTGACTTTTCCCAGCCTCATTGCCTCTGATTTCCTCTTTTCTGAAGCCTTGCAATGAAGCAGGCTCCCCTGAATCACAGCTTGGCCTTCCATTAAGCTAATGAGTACTTCCTTTTCAAGTCGAGCTGTTCTGTGCCACCTCTGAACCCTGTTCTGACCACTCTGATTAAATTAAAAGTAAAACAGCAGTTTCTCATCTGTGATTTTTCTCTTAGTAGCATCTTCTAATGGTGGGATGGGGTCAAAGGTGGGATTATGACATCTTCTTTGTTTGAATAGACTCAGGGGATCCCTTTCATGTGCTTTTAACTTAAATTCCTTTTCCTAATTAATCACAGAACGAGGCCTATTATTGAGTATTCAAAAGGCAAGCACCTAGAGTGCATGGTAGAATTAATTCTACTCACTTGTGTGAGCCCTGTGCAAACAAACAGTTGCGCTTCATCACAAGACGTTTGCTTGTGAGAGCCGTTGTGTTACTTTGCTGAAGCGAGAGAACATTCTTTCACATAGCTGCACCCCACAACAGATACTGTCACAATTTATTTGCTGCTTCGGTTTCTAACACAGACAGGGGTTGTTGATTTTTGTCTGATGAGAATGATGACCGTTTGGTCTTCTAGAGAAACACAGCATATTAAGTTGGAACAATTTGGATCTTGAATGTTACTTGGAGACTCACACATTAAATGCTTGGTTCCCAGTGTACCTCTATTGGGAGGTGATGGAACCTTTGAGAGGTGGGACCTTGGCAGTTTCTTAAGTCATCCAGGGCATGAGAGTGGTAAGATAGTAGTTCCTTCCCTCCCTGCCTCCCTCCCCACCCCTCCCCTCCCCCTCTCCTCTCCTCCTGCCCTCCCCTTCCTGCCCCTCCCTACATCCACCCTTCTTTCTCTCCCCCCCTCTCCCTTTCCTTCCCAGCTATGAGATGAGCAGATACCCTCTGTCACATTCTTTCATTACGATGATGTGGCACTCACCAAATGCCCCAAATCAACAGGGTCTCTTGCTAATGCATTTGAACTTCCAAAAGTGTGACTCACTATAAATATTTTCTGTTTATAAGTTGATTGTCTCAGATACTTTGTTATAGTGGCAGAAACCTGACTAATCCAAGAGGTGTCCCTCTCAGTACAAATCTAAACTATACTAAGCATTCTTTAGAAAGCATTTGCCAGCAATGGAGAGAGGAACACTCAAAGAAAAAAAAAAAGAAAGGAGAAAAATGCAAATTAGGAGATAAGGAAATAGGCTGATTTTCAAGGTGACCTAGAGTAGGAGAGTAGGGACTATTTGTGAAAATTATTTGTTTCGGACATTAATATGAAATGTTGGATAGTTTATGCAGATAGGGAAATATTTATTAGGTCATTGGACACAGGTAGTTAAGTCATGTAGAAACTGGATCATCATTACCCAGGGTCCTAACCAATGCTGTTGTCACACTCTGGTGATTGTGTATCCACTCCCTCCTT